CGTGCAGAAGCCCAAGGCGGGGCTCGGCTCTCCTGCTTCCCCAGCCTCGCCCTCACCCAGACCCCTGCTGGATTCACTGGGACTTGGCCGTGCCCTTGGGACACAGGCCAGATCCTACACGAGCCAAGTTCTTCTCCCTCCCCTCCCCTCCTGGCCTCTCGCCTGCCCTGCCGTGTCCCCGCGGGCGCTGGGGGTTCAGGCTGGCGGGGTGGTGCCCCCAACTCGAGGGTGTCACTCAGCACCTATCACTGGAAGATCAGGTCCCTCCAACCCGAAAATTCCTCGGAGGACTTACACACCCGGATGGCCACGGAGACACAGGAACGCTGTCAGTGGGACGGGAACGACCCCAGAGAAAGGGCCAGAGCAAAGAAGATGTGGTCTCTGTGTTTCCTTCAGGGACCCTTCCGTCATAGCCCTTTGGTCATCTTGCTAAGAGTTATATGTAAATTTGCCAATTAGTATTTTGGTACAATTTGCACATCTAAATTCAAGAATCAGACCCCTGCTGGGTCTGCCCAGCAGGAGAGCTGAGGTGTCCCGGGAGAAAAGTTCTGCCAGTCAGTTAGATGGACCTTGCATTAACCAGAACAGTGACCACAAGAGCAGTGGTCACACAGGGACTGTAAGCCAGGTAGGAAACCTGTCGTCAGAGGGACCAGCCCCCTGTCCTACTCTGGAGGGAGGAAGGGGATGGTGACCAGAGAGGAGGCTAGATGATTCCTCCCAGGACCCCAGGCAGGACCCTCACCTGTTCAGGTCCACGAATTCTAGCTTTTGCCCTGACTCCAGACCCAGCTGCGATCTTGGGTAGAAAGGGTGGCTCAGATCACCTTTGAAGTCACCCTGTGATCTGTGACCTGTGGTATAACCTCTACAAGAACAATGTCCTACCTGCCTGTTTTCTTCTTTAAAGGCAGGAGACTACTTCAAAACTAAGAGATGTGCAATGAATTGGCCCGTGGTTGACTTCGCTTTGTGTAAACGATATTGCAAGGGATCATGAATATGTGAAAACAGGTGATAGCCCTTTAAAAGAAATGGGTTTACAAGTTACAGGGCAAGGCACTGCAGAAATGTAATATTTGCTTTGGAAGTTAGATAACACTTTGTTAGGATTGCAAGGGATGAACCCAGTATATGAAAAAGGACTTGAAACTATCAAGAGGACGTGTGGAGTCGGGGGTGAAGAGGACAGGTAGACTTCACCATACCCCTGTTATGTCATGGAGGTCAGGTGGTCTGCAGGTCTCTGCTAAGTTGGGGAACTTGGAGACTATGTCGCAAAGCACACTCCCATCCAGACCTTAGCTGAACTCCCAACTCAGGTACCCAATCTGTATCCAGGGTCAAGAGGCAGCCTCTGGCCTCCGAGTGAACTCCCCTGTAGGCTTTCCTGCAGTGGGACACAAACACACAAGTGCTTGGACTTCTAAATCATTCTATTTCTCACTATACATCAAAAGTTTGTCATTCTAAGTTTTACACATTTTGAGCTATGACAGGCAGATTTCTAAATCCGATTGAGAAGACTTTTAAGAAAGCTAACACTCCTGAGAATAACAATTTTGAAAGACACAGAACAGATATTGTTACGTTAGTATTCACCCAGTTGGTGACCACTGAAAATCAGTTGTTGAAATCCTACCGTATTCCAGGCATTGAGAATAAGACAATCCTTCAAGGAGACTGTAGTTTCACTAAAGACCAGGAGTCAGGTGGGATCTGCAGGAGAGAGATTTTTGAAAATATGGGGCACATCTAAACGGAGAGCAGTGGAGAAGGAGAGAGGCTGAGAGCAGGAGAAAGAAGTGATGTGTGCTGGGCCAAGGCCTCGGTGTGGCCATCCCAGGTGGTTTCCTCAGAAGAAGGAAACAACCCTGCAGAAGGAGGGGAGAGACTGGGCCAGCAGCCCCCCAGAGCAAGGTCCTCCAACTGTATGGGGGCGGGGGGAAGCGGGGACCAGGTTGTCTGAAGCCAGGGGAGTGGAGCCAATTGTTAACATGCAGACATTCAGTCCCAAAGGTGTCAATATTCTGGATTTATACGTGCTCTCTTGTGACTGCAAAATGTGGGCAAGTTCTGATTTTTAAAACAACACTATGAAGAGCAATCAAAATACATTAGGTCAAATTAAGCTAAGGACCTGTTATGTGACCTCTGAACTGGATTCCACAATTCATTCCTGCCAACATTCTAACACTCTCAAGGTAAATTCGCAAAAATTCTAACTAAAATGGCCTCAAAATTTTTTTTCAATAATCAATATTTTTTTATTATGATGTTGTGGGGTACAGTTAAGGGTTAGGTATATAAATACGTTTCATTCAGGCACCCTATTGATTAGAGGTGCTTCCCCATCCCCAGACAGATATTTGCTCGTTAATTCCATCTCCCCGCCCCCATAGTTTCCCACTACTGTCAGTCATTTTCTTATAGTATTAGATTGGATGTTCAAGGTCCATTATATGAGTGAAAACATGTGATACTCGAACCTTTGTTTTTGTGAGAGGTCACTCAGTATTATAGACTCTAGTTCCATCCAGGTTGCTGCAAAATTCATGATTTTGTTCTTTTTTGTGGCTGCGTTGTATTCCATCGTGTATATGTACCACATTTTTCTAATCCAATCCTCTTTTGATGGGCAGCATGGTTGCTTCCAGGTTCTTGCTATTGTGAACAATGCTGCGATAAACATATGTGTGCAGGTGTCTTTTTGTACAGTGATTTGTGTTCTTCCAGATATATTCCCAGTAGGGGATTGCGGGGTCGTATGGGAGGTAGATATTTAGAGTTTTTAGGAATCGCCACACTGCTTTCCACAGAGGTTGCACTAGTTTACACTCCCACCAACA